TAGAATGTCCATTGTGGAAAAGGACTTTATGGATGTAAACACACATACAAATCATTAAAGCTCCATATCAGAAGTTTTACCTCAGTCATTGCAGCATTTAACTTGGTGTGCTGTTGTAAAGAGCCAAAGCAGCAGAAAATATGGCACTGCGTACACTACCAGCTCTCACCTCTGTTTTATATTGCTTTTCTTGTTCTGTATGTTTGTAACTGACCTACAGTTTTCTTAACTCATCTTCCTGATCCTCTGTCTTTTTTCTCAGCTGCAGTAATTGGGACACGGCTCCATATTGCTGTGGCGATGTCCTGTCTGGCCATGGCTTTCTACGTTATCTTTTTGAAATGATACAGTCAAACTGATCTGGAAAGGAGTGGACGGGTGCAGGCTGGGGATGGATTTATCACCGAGGTCATCTGCCAATCCTGGTTGTGGGACACTGGATTATGTGCCTGATGAATTCCCATTGTCCTGTGGGCCCCAAGACTAGCCAATGCTGCCCCCTTTTGGTGGCTGTGTACATAACTCTTTCCATAAGAATGCGTGTGCACTACAAACATGAAGGGCATTCTGATTTTACTCCACAGTTATCACAGAGGAGAGAACCTGCTTGGTCACATGGTATCATTTTGTTGTTGGGTAACACTGTTCATTGTGTCCATCCACACCCCATAGTTATTTATATTGAAGGATGCAGGATTGAAGAGCAGTGTGGGCATTATCCCTTATATACCCTTATACATTATCCTGTATACAACTTAAAATTTCCTAGCTGTATATATATATGGGAAAAATTATGACCAGTAGAGATCTGCCAGCGGTTATATGTGATCAAACTAAAAATGCTCAAATTATGCTTGCTCCCAGCTGTGCTGCTTTTCTGTTAAGTCTTCTGTAAAGGGTGGATGGGAAGATAAATCTAATATATAAAATCTTTCTTGTGTACACTATAGTTTTCTATTTTATTTTAGCTTTTTTTAGGCATCTTTTATTTTTTACATTTTCTGCCACAGCTATATTGTATTTACTTTGACATCTAATTCTAGATAACATTTTGAATGTTACAAATTGGGCTGTAATAATAAAGTGCATATGTCAGCATGTTTTGAAAATTGGATAGCTATATTAGACTTGGCAGGAGATTTAAATGTAAAGCCAAATAAGGATGGTGCTCCTTTAATTCTGCCACCTTATTTTTTATTCTTGGAGTAAATTGCTTTGGGAGGGGATGCAATGCAATTTTGAGTAAAAGCTTGATCATACAATTTCTGTTTGTCTTTGTGAAACATGGGTCAGGTTTTAAGTGACATACAGCCAAGACAAGTCAAATTGTGATTGTGTGGTCCAATATCACAAATCACAAATTAGTCTCAGTGGGTTTACAGCCTGTTCAGCATATGACACCCTCTGTCTTTATAGACCTTTGAATTGGATAAATAAAACTTTCCCCCAAAAACCCTTTAACATGGGGGAAAATGGGAGAAACCCCAGGAAGAGCAACAGAAGAGGGACTCCTCTTCCAGAATGGACGGATGTGCCATAGATCTTGTGTCTGCAGAATAAATCCACTAAATAGATTTATGGTATAGACAATTACTATTTTTGGCACTAATTGACAGAACACACCCTGCCAAAATCCTTAGCATTAATCCAAATGCAGTACAAATCTAAAATACCTACCTTGACTCATTTTATACCTGGATAGTTCTGTATCCGCTTTGAACATCTGGGCAGTGCAATTCTGCCCCCATTGTTTTTCAGGTCACTAAAACTGAGTGAAAAGCAGATTTCAAGTCTTGCCATCAACTCTGAATTGAATTGAGGATTTTGGACATTTATTATAAAGCCATCCATGTTGCATCTTTGTCATGCGTGGGCTTGTTCTCTTTCTTTAAAGTCATTCTTCATCTGATCTCTGGTTTACCTCCAAGACATATCTGTATTTCCTACATTTATTTCCCTTAAATTCCCACAGTATGAGGCTACATGCATCGCAGTGGACACTGTGTATTTCTGCCACTATGCAGTGTTGGGCTTCCAACAAACACTGCATGTAGCATAAAGGTGTGTTATTACTGAAGATATTTTCAGATCTATGAGGCCATAAAACATACAAGTTTTTCTCATTCTTTTACCATCTGCTTTCTCTGAGACATGCCAGGTCTTTTCCAACAAGCTGTGACTTGAGATGCACCACGGCAACAGTTTTTGTGTGTGTCTCCCATCTCACCCACAGAACCCTGTATTTCATTTACACTTGTCCCAAGTCTTTTGGTGGCAACTGCTTTTAGTACTCCTCTCACAAACATTCTCGGTTTATAAGGACAACCATCTCTCCGCACAGTCACAGCTGTGCCGTATTCTCATTGTTTACGATGGAGGGCTACTCGGTGCTTTGGAATCAGCCTTGTATCTGTAATTCTTTTCACTTTGGTTAGGTCTTTTTCTCAGCAGACATTTGAGTTGCCCTACTAGGGAAAGTATGGGTGTTAACACAAATTACCATGGGACTGCGTGCTTGTGCAGTAATCTGTACAAGTGCCCCAGGCAGCCAGGTCAGTGAGCCAGTATGAACAATACCAGGAACTGAACTGAAGCAGCTAAATGGGATTCACTCAGCTATTACTAATGTTATTATTTACACCTGTGTTGTTTCTACTGTGGCATGTCAGAATGTCTTATGTGAAAAGGGCCTGTTTGTAATGTTGCTTTTTCCTTATGACACACATTACCTAATCGGCTGTTGAACCTCCCAGTGTAATCATCTTACAGTATCTTGAGATTACACCATGACTACACACAGGTGATTTCCCTTCATCTGATTTTGTACCTCTTGAGAACAGGAGAATGTAGTAGCCATATTTAAGTGTCTGAATAGTGAATAGTGTATTTTTTCAGTTATGTTTTAGATATTTTTGACATTCACAGTAGTGGCTTTTATGTTCATTAGTAAAAAAAAACAAAAACATTGTGTTTTAATGGTAGAACAAAGTCCAAGGTGATTAAAGTAGGCACTGTACATTGTGTATTTGTAGTTTTTATTGGTGAGTCATTGGTGAGTGGTTAGTTTCCAGTCAGATAGCTTTAACTAAACACTGGTGTGAGTTCAGACTGTACCTATATCTGCGGTACATTCAAACCTGTGAAACACGCCGTGTGACTGTCAAAGGAAATTCCTCCTCAACCCCACCACAGCAGTTACAGGACACCCCGATTTCTCAATAGCGACCCAATTCTCGCGAGAACATTACTGCCAGGAGCGCGCAATGACGAAAGGACGTACGCGTTCACATTTCCGCGCACAGCAGAGCGATAACACAACAGGGCGAACGATCCAGCGAAAGCTGGTCCAGGGTGAGCTTCCTGAGCTGACCGCGTTTTGTAGAGGAAGTTGTCTCCAAGCACACCGACGTGCACGGAGAGGTGGGGATTTTTTTTCTGCACAACTGCATCTGATTTGCACAACTGAGCGGCTGAAGTTTTGTGTGATTCCAGGTCGTCTTTGTTTTTGAGTTTACTGGGGAGCAGCAGTAACCCCACCACGTCGTGCCACGGGGAGGAGAGGAGAGGAGACAGGGCAGAAGTTTCCGCTGGTTTGTTTTGTCACTGCGGGGCTGGTAAATCCGCAGGAATGTCGCAGAAGGAGAGACCCACTTTCTACCGACAGGAGCTCAGCAAAACCGTGTGGGAAGTCCCGGAGCGGTACCAGAACTTATCTCCCGTCGGCTCCGGTGCTTACGGATCTGTATGGTAAGCAGTTGTTGCAGGGTAGGCTAACGTTACAACCGAGAGCACACAGCACGGTTGCACAACAGCCAAACGGGTTCCCATCGCCCACAGAGGCCCGCAGGAGCTGCTTCCCTACGGGCTGCTCGTCTATCTTTAAGGAGGGCCAGTTGTAAAAGGGGAAAATATGACTTGTACCGTTTGTTTACATTTTCACACTTTGACTGCTGCGAATTCATGGTACATCGTGCACGCTTCTGGGCGGCTCGCATTTCTTCGGCGGGTGGTGATTATTGTAGTTTGTGCACGTTCTTGCTTTGCTCTCTTACTCTTGCCCTGTTGACACCTGTGTGCGCTGCTAATTTCCAGTAAACACGCCGGCAGCTATAGCGGCAAGTTTAACTCAGTCTCCAGTGTTACATGTGCATGTGAACAGCTTTTTGAATCATTTATCCGTCTCTCTTCCGAGGGAGACTGATCAGTGACATGCCCGTGCTTGCATCATCTGTGCCGCTTCATGAGATAGGACCTGTGCTCATGATATAGTCAGTGAAGGTCAGCCAACACTTGGAGAAACAACTGCCTTCCTCTAGAATACTTTTGTAGTCCCGTACACACACGGCATGCATTATGCATTTTCCAGTTGGGTGCAGCCTGCAGAGTACCAGAAGGTCACGTGGTTTTCAGAAAGTAGGCCCCCTCGTGCATAGTGAGCGCTTTCTGTTGAAGCCCATCCAACGACGATGATGACTCTAGAATGATGTCACCCTTTCTCCTGATGTGATACACCAATGACTCACAGTCCCGAGGTTAGGTAGTGGCCTCAGCTATGACATCTTTTAGTCATCATAACCGTCGCCAATGGCATATTATCCTAATTCGAATTTTACTGTTAATTTTGACCAAATTTCCATAACTTCGGCTATTATGTATGCACTTTTTAAAACAGGTATTAGTGGCAAATAAAGGGTAAAAGGTGACCTCATTTGGCCCTTAAGACAATCACTGGGCAAGGAATTGTCAATGCAAATGAAAAGGCATTGGTATATTGAGTGTCTTCATGATAAAAATCTGTTATTCCTTTGATGTGTAATTAAAAGTTGTGCCAGGCCCAAAAGAGTGTTTAAAACTAAAAGATGGGCTTGTCTTAAATCCGTTCTCTCTGGGTATCAACTTTATGTCTAGGCTGGCTGTTCCACACGTTGCATATAAAACGCCAACTGCAGCATTCTTTCTTTCACCAGCAGCTACTTTAAAGTTCCCTTTGAGGAAGTTCCTCTGCTTCCCACTGTGTCTTTGACTGCATCCTAACCACAGCCACGGGTCATCAGCATCATACAGTATCACAGCCTTTTCAGTGTTCTAGCTTCCAGGAAGCTCTGCAAGCAGAATGGTCCAAACAGCAGTTTGTTATTAAAACCCTTGAGAAGGTATCTCTAAAGCATAAATAACCTCACCTTCTCCAACATATCACAGCTATCGGTCAGCTGGATGCATGCTTTCAGTTGCTGCCATAACGTTCTTCAGGTTCTCAGCTTGAATTCTTCACAATGTGTAAATACAGAAAACCTGTGCTATGTGGGATTTAAAACAAATGTCCTCATCGGCCTGTCACTCAGATACAAGGCTACCATTAAGAAAAACACTATCACTTTCTCTATTTCATACCTTTTTTACTTAAAGGAGATCCAGGGTTTTACTGTGAATGCTGCTGGCTGGGATTACAGTATGGACTTTGTGCTGAGTGCTTCCTGATTTTTGAGTTTCGAGCATAAAAACCAATGTAAGCCCTTTTTTTGCATGTATGCAGATTTAATCATCAGCTCAGTTCAGCTTGATACAGGAAAATAAACCAAGCAATATGTTTTAAAATTAGTTTCTCACTATATAATCCTAACAGTTCTCCAGCCTTTGATAATGTTTTCCTGTTCTCTCTCTCAGACAGTCATATACCTGCTCTCTGACGTTTCCTTAGACTAAAAAAACAATGACAGCTGAAGCAGATCTTGATTTGTTTAGATAGCAATTTGAAACGGGGCCCCTGTCCTCCCTAATCTGGCCCTGGCGATTTTGGTTAACTCTAGAACTGAAAAGGTTTTCTGGGTACTCTCCGAGTTTATGGAGCCATGGTTTACAATGGCTCTATATACTTGGATAGAACTTGAACCTGATTCTACGTCGGGTGTCATAGTGGTGTTTATCTCCCACTCTCAGTTTGCTCTGAGGTCTCCTTCACTGGCAGCACACCTGCTGCTTCATCAGTTAGCCTCGGCTTGGAAAGCGTTCACGTGCTGCCATGCCTTCATGTCCTGTAGCCTTCATCTGTATACATTGTCTTTAGAGACACTGTGTGCCATTGTGCATTTTGCTGATTAGGAAAGGATTGTATGAGGCGGCTCCAGTGATAAGGTGCAGTACTGTGGTGCAAGATCAGGCTGACGCACGTGGCTTAAACCACAGAGAACTGTACACCGACATGCCCCTTCTCTAAACGAAAAGGAGGATTAAATTTAAAACCAGCAAATTTTATTGTCCTTATCTCCAGCAGTCAGTCATGTGCATGCATCACTGGCTGCATCTCTGATGTCGGAGTCAAACCAGTCATTTTGGATCAGACTTTAGAGCCTCAAAATCTCACTTCATGCAGATATAATGGTGTTGGTATGTGGTTCTTTTGTTACACCATACTTGGTACTGCCTGTTCTTCCCAAACACTTCTACCTTTGTTTCATCTGTCCACAGGACATTTTCCCAGTAGTGTTGCGGAGTGTCAAGGTGGTCTTTGGCAAACTTCAGGCATGCTGCAATGTTGATTTTGTAGAGCAGTGGCTTCCTCTGTGGCGTCCTGCCATGGATACCATGCCTATTCAATATTTTGCATATGGGTGACTCATGAACAGGGATGTTAACCAACTCCAAAGAATCCAGTTAGATCAAGTTAGTTATCTCCATCTTCATTGTAAATAACCTTTTTTTTTTCTTCACCCTTGGATGTTTTTGTTTCTGTTTCATGCTGGTCACATGATAGAATGTCATCACCATGCACACTAGCTCTGCGTGAATACTCCAAACTATACGCTGCTTTTTTCTCACATGGACTCACTCAGACATTATGCAGACCTTGTTTGGGGGAGCTGGTAGGATAAAGTCTGTTTTAATGTCTGGGTGGACTGACACTGATGTTTGTGCTCTCATGTACAGGTTCCAGTGCATGTTTGAAATAGGCTTATGTATGCACATATTTTCAAATGATGCATGCCACAGCAAAAATACCCCAACAATTAGCCTATAACAACTGTCTACCACTCTGTAAAATGTTTGAAGACATGTAAGGTGAACAAACTGCATAACTTATTTTTGTTTGTTGTCAGAAGGGGATTTTTATCTTCTTCACTGGTAACACCTCGAAATTACACACGCTCAATATGGAGCCATGGGGCTCTTATTGAAAAGAGGAGAGACATAACAAGCACACCAGCTCATCTTATTGAAAGCTGCACCATTTTGGTGGATCTGGTGTCGATGTTTATTTTTCCAAGAGCAGGTAATTGATGGCAGTTTATTGCAGTAGCCTTCATCCTTTGTCTCTTTAATCTCTTGTGAAGTCCATTGCTGAAATAAAGTGAGTTGATGGGAGGAGGAAGGGCAGGACAGTTACCACAGACACCAGAAACAAGCCATTTACAGTACACATGTGACTGTATGCTGTGTGTGTTAGTCAGCACGCTGCTGATGATCACTGTTTCTCTGTGATGTCGGGCCTCATAATGTTGCTCCTTTTACAGCCCACAATTTTATGGATGTTTGTTATTGCACTTCCATTTATTACAGACTAATTATATGGTGTATGCGCAGAGCTGTGCTGTTTGTCTTGCAGATTAGCAGCAGTTTATTTTAAAGGGAGAGTTCATGGGTCTTTGTTTTGGCTTGAAGCTTTTGCATCCTTAATGAATATGGGTTTTCCCCACACCAGTGACAGACAAATATGAATGTTGTTGAGCAAGCCGGGAACATAGAGTACATTGGGTGTGGGAGATTATCTGTGACTTGGTGGAAAATAACACACTGCTTTATCTTCATGTTCTTAATATGGATACATGGCACTCAGGACAGAACTTTGTCACAAACGCAGAATTATTTTTAAGGCTACACTGGTGGCATTAAACATAGAGCCACAGGGGTTCCCAGTCATGTGCAGCTAAAAGGTTAACAGTTTAACTTGCTCATCGGTTTGTGAAATATGTGCAGAAATGACTCATCTGCTCCTGTAACAAGTGGTGTTGAAATGGTCTGAAAGGCCCCCAGCTCAGGTAGTTTTTAGGGATGGACAGTGATTTTTGAATAGTCATTAAAGTTAAGAGACTGAATATTCCATGAGTCTATTGTTGCCACTGTTTTACCGGCGCCTGGGAAAAAACGCGATAACGAGGTCAGTACATCATTTTAATACTGCGCCAAATCCAAACAGCAGAAACACGCAGGCACCACAGCCAAGAAAAACGGTCACAGCAGGACTAGACAAACTGTGGAATGATGATAATGATGCATGTGAGCGGCGCAGTCGTTTGACAAACTCTGAAAATGTGCACCCGACAGCGGATACATGGACTGCGTTTACAGGTGAATGTGACAGTCACCTGGCACTATATAAGCAACTGGAAAATACTGAGTGTGGTTCTTCAGACTAGAGCCGTTTGCAGACAGGACGCAGTGGACGCTGCACTGTCAAACCCATTCATTTCTATGTGTTGCACAGTGCAAACTGGGCAGTGCAAGGTTCTACGTGCTGTCCCTGCGCACTGTACTGAACTTAAAAAAAAAAAAAAAAAAAAAAAAACCTTGGGCGCAGCGCTTTGTGACGACACCTCCACAACTACAACCAGGGCCTTTCGCTGATATGTAGGTTGAATAGTTCACAGCTTGAAATGCCCATCCATAGTAGTTCTATTAGCTGGCTTCTTGTATAAAGCTGCTGCTTCTCAGGATTTGATTGCAGACGTAGTTTGATGAAACCACTCACACCCTATAAAATCAGTGAGAGGGGAAAAAAAGTCTGCTCAAAACGGTGCATATTCTTTTTGAGATAGATTTTGTGATGCAGCTTAAGTGACTGCCCTGGAAGGAATGTGGTTCATTGTGAGTGGGTAGTGCTCCCTCACAGGACAGGAAATGCAACAATGCCAGGTTTCTCGGGGAGTCAAGGCCCATTTGTCTCACAGTCTTTGTGTCTGTCTCTGGACAAGTGTCTGGATTTTACAGTGTGTGTGTATAAGATCCTAGCAAAAAGATGATTACATTCTGTCCTTATAGTTTACAGTTTCTAGTGTCTGAGCTGTTATATCAAACTGTATTCTTTGTGCCACACCTGTTTTTCTTTTTTTTTTTTAATTGCACCAGCTGTACAATGACAATGAAGTATTCTGTTACAGCATTACAATGAAATGAGTAAATTAATGGGATGAACAGGAATCACACCCATGCACAGTGGCTTCAGCAGCTGTGATCCTGTTCACACCGTGTGAACTTTTTTTTTTTTTTTTGTTTTAATGAATTTGCTCAGTTTTTACGCCATTGCATTTGGCGCTTATTGTATGATTAATATATAGAAATATAGTTTGAAACGTATGGCCCAAGGAGCTATCTAATATGAAATTGCACACCCATAGAGTGAATCATATCATTTCTACTTCCTAACGTGACTCCAGCACAGCTTGGAGTGACAGCAGCTACAACACTTACTTTACCTGCTGCCAATAATGCCTGGTACATCATCAGGATGTGCAAGTTATTTTGTTTTTATTGATCGGGGCTCATGAGCTGCATTTGTGTGTTGTTTTGTGGAATAATTATTGTGTGTGGATTTAAGTATTAGATCAGTGGTTCTCAAAGAGCACTGAAGTGCACCTCTTGAGCATAATTGTGGTCGTTGTGGAATGTTGGCATGGGAGGGTGTTGATGATAAAGAGGCTGCAGAACTGAACAGCTAAGGAGGTGTTACAAAGCCACTGTGCGCACTGCTGTCAGTCACTTCAAGCTGTGCAGGGCTCGCGGTATAATGACAAGACAGACTATCCTTCCAGCGCTCCCTGCCCATGCACACTCACTTGGACGTCTTCAGCAAACTCTCAAGGCAGATGCTGATTTTGAATCGCTGGATGCCCTTCCTGACGCAACCCTGACTCGAACCCAGGCCACAGTGGCGAGGGCACTGCGCCCACTAGTGTATCAGGGAACCCTTTTGTTAACTTGTTGCCATTTAAAAACATTGTAATACCCCAAGCTTTATGTCCATGTTGATAGAACAATAATAGTAACATTTGGATGGATTGGTTCTACGAGCAGGTTGCACTGAGTCAGCAGGGAATTTCTTTAATGAATTAAGAATCATAAATGATGATAAAAGAGAACAGGTTTTCAGTAGACCACTGCGCCAGACAGCTGAGGTTTGATTACAGTTGTAGAGAAAACATCCAGGAATATGTAAACATTAATATAAAAAAACACTGCCTGAACTCTGATTTTTACAGTAAACATTTAATAGATTTTCACACTCGTGTTGTACACAATGAAACAGATTTTTAACCAAATGTTCATTAATGTTCGCCATACAGTCTGAGGCTGCAGAAGTGAAACCAAGAGCTCAGTGTTTTGTTTTAGTTTCTGGGGTATGGCCACCTACACAGTTTGGTATCTCATTCTCACTTTAATTGAGAGTAATATTTCAGGGTTTGATATGACAGTTGTTATCGGTCTCGTGCACTGTGTTTAACTGGCTCAAATACTTATTTCTTTCAGTTCAGCATTTGATGTGAAGACAGGCTTGAAGGTAGCAGTGAAGAAGTTATCCCGGCCCTTCCAGTCCATCATCCATGCAAAGAGAACCTACAGAGAGCTGCGGCTGCTTAAACACATGAAGCATGAGAATGTGAGTACGCCCCCACCGGCATCCGCCCCAACTCTCCCTCTAATTCTTCAGACCCAGACTCCTCTAGCCATGCACTGTTCTGTTTGTTCAGCTCAGAAGGAAATATTTCATATGTATATACATGAAATTGTACTAACTGCTTATATTGTTATGCTCATGACTGGTAGCATATAGTGATATCTGGAGCTTTTTTTTTTAGCTGTTCACTCAGGAATGTAGCAATGTGGACACCAGAGCTGATAGGGAACTAAAACTACAAATCAGAACTGTGGCTGTCAAACTGCCTGAGCTTATGTCTTGAGCTTGAGATCTCATGAACATCCCGAGTGATTGTTGAACTTCGGGTTAAAAAAGTTCCACTTTCCATTCCCATGGGCTCCGAATTTGATCACATCAGTTTGAGGCAACTCAGGTCATCTATTTGTTCTTGCATACATCAGTGCATCACTATAAACAGGCATCCCAGGCCTGAAGCAGACTGGTAAACTGTAGGCAGAACTGGGTGTGTGCCCCAACGCCTCACTCCAACAGGCTGTAAAAGCCACAACAGGAGCCTAAGATTTTGTCAGATTTATGAAATGGCAACATCATGATAAGAAGTCTTCTTGTCTTCATTTCTTGTGTGATGTCATAACTACACTGGCCTCCTGCTGCGGTGTCCTGTTAGAAGAGTTTTCTTTGTGAATGATCAAAGTATGTTGCACGGCGCCAGACGGTAAACAGAGAGTCACTAAACAGGTTTAAAGCAGCAGTACCTTCACCCTCTGTGGTGTCTTTTCCATTCATCTCATTTTGTTCCTGCAGCAGTTTTGATTTGTGCCATTTTACTTTTAATATTCCATGACAGTGGTTTTGTTCCCCTCCAGTAAGGTTTTGGTTTTCTCTGTGTGTGCGCGTTTATAGGCACTCTGCATGCAGATATTTGCTCACATACAAAACACAGTTGTTAGTTCCTGTGTGCTGCTGCTGCATTCAACTAACACACTGACCGAATAGAGAGGGTCTTTATGTGTTATGTAATGGCTGTGGTTATGGTTTCTCAAGCATAAGTGGACTTGATGGATTTCTGTGTGCTGTGTGGGAGCAAGTCAGCTGGATGAATGGTGAAGACTAGAAGCTTCTGTTGGTGGGGAGTTTGCTCAGAAGTTTGCTGTTGGCCTTTTGTAAGAAGTAGAAATGTTGTTATGAGAGCTTACTGGGGAATGACATGACAGACTGGGGCTTTCTCCAGTGTCACCAACCTGCGGGCACAGTGAAGTGAAGCAGTTTTAGATGACTCATACCTGTATTATAAAAGAAACTGCAGCTTGAAAAAGTATTGAAAATTTCAGTGGGGAAAACCCACCAACAGTGCTTCATCCAGCTGAGAGCACCCCCCTGTAAAATAAGACGGTACATGTCACATGTGCCAGCAGGTTATTACAATAGAGCCAATTTCAATTTGAGTGTGTGGCTTGTGTTTTACAAGAGTTTCTACCCCTAAAGCTCACCAAGTAGCTTTTGTGACTAAACCTAAAAAAGCAGTTTGTGTAGCAAAACTGACAGTTTCATAATTGTAGCATGATATGTATGACAGTTTCAAAGACAATGGAGCTCGAGTAGCTTGGTGCTAGCTAGCCATTATGTTTATGGCTGTTTCCATGATGACAAAGGGCCATAAAGCTTGGTAGTGCGATATACATTGTCATTAGTGTTGGTGGGATTGTTGCAATTCTTCCTGCTATTGTAGGAGCGCTGTTTACTGAGACGCCCTAATGGGTTGAATGAGAGGAAAGGACAAATGGCCATATGGGTCATATAGGTTGGAGGACATGATGGACCTGCAGCACAGCAGATCCATCCATCCATTTTCCTCCGCTTATCCGGAACCAGGTCGCGGGGGCTGCAGTCTAAGCAAAGATGCCCAGACTTCCCTCTCTCCAGACACTTCATCCAGCTCCTCCGGGGGAATGCCAAGGCGTTCCCAGGCCAGCCAAGAGACATAGTTCCTCCAGCGTGTCCTGGGTCTTCCCCGGGGCCTCCTCCCAGTGGGACATGCCCGGAACACCTCCCTAGGAAGGCGCCCAGGAGGCATCCGAAACAGATGCCCGAGCCACCTCAGCTGGCTCCTCTCGATGTGGAGGAGCAG